CATTCATGCACTGTAATGGTATCAGTACTTTTAGCCTAGCGGGGGGGTGATGGGGGGGAAGCGTGTTCACACAGACAGATCGTATTTTGTATGCGCGGCAGTGTCAGACGAGACCGAACGAACGGTTCGCTGTCATGTCAGTGGGCCAGCAAGGGGTAGTTGGGAGGTCTGTATCCATTATCCACACAGCAGTTAAGCGTCATGAGACTCTTTGATATCTCACCAGGTCTCCACTACCAGAAAAAATGAAAAGGACGGTGACCACTACACCAAGCAGGACTGTCAAGTTTCAAGGTGTATGTACTTCGAAAACTAACACATTGGATTGCTGAACCGGATCGATGCTTACAATGTCAAAACACCCATATAGCTCAACAAAGAAGGTGCTGGATGGAATTCGGACGGACTCGGCAAACACACACATCGCGAAAACACGTGCTCCGCGCACACCATCACACACACACACACACACCTGGTCTCGTAGTTCCAGACGTCCTGGACGTCGTCCTCGAAGGCGCTGTGGAGGGTGCGGAGGTCCGCCGGGGTGAGCGAGTCCAGAGGCACCCCCCGGTCCTCTGACATCTTAACCGCCGCCCCGGAGATGTGGTGCGTCTCGCGGAAAGGCACCCCCTGTGTGTTACGGTGGTGACGATGGTGGTGTGGAGCAAAGGTGTAGAGTTGTGGGCGTTGCCATGATATTATTCAAGTCCCCAAAACTGAAAATAAAAAAATATATGTATTCCAAAAGAAAAAGGCTACAAAGACAGATCAACACGAGAATACAATTCGTTGTTTCTTGAGTGTACTGCTGTAGTTTGTGAGCGGTAAAAGTGACGGTTGGTGACGTCGTGTTGGTGACGACGTGATAGGGGTAAGGGGTGGGGCGGTCGCAAGGTGGCCATGGGGTCATTTGCACGGTCGTAAGCGCCCACGAGTGACATGGCATGCACACCAAAAAGCGCTACAGTAGTATCAATCAGGTAGCAGAGCCAGGAGGACGGGGGCGGTTGAATCTTCAGAGACTTGACCGCACCTCACGAAGAACAAAATAAAAGCATGCCATGTTGTGTATCAGCAACCTTCACGCGGTGCAGCTGAGACGGGCAGGAAGGAGCCTGCTTCCTCTTTGTGTGCAACCCGGCACCACTAATGAGGTGCACCGTACGAATCCGGGCGCATGCACAGGTGTGCGACCGATTGTTAAAATATCGATTCCTCTACAACCATACGAGGCTACCAACGCCCGAAAGGGTCGTTTGCGGCAGACCGCGCCCAGAGAGAGAGAGAGAGAGAGAGAGAGCTTTCCTTGCACGTGTCCGTCGTGTTTCTCGACAGCACCCTTCGTGGTTGTGGGAAAAGCGATGTCTTCAGCCACATCGCACACCTATACGTTCGCCCGCACTTCGGCGGCAGCATCGCCAACTACACATCCTCTCTCTCTCTCTCTCTCTCTCTCTCTCTGCTCTCGTCTCTCTCTCTCTCTCTCGTCTACCCCCTGCCAAAGAGAGAGAGTGCTTCCTTCTACAAAGCTCTCCCCGACCCCCCAACCCAACATCGCACACACACACCTTGCGAACAAGGTAGTCCGCGAGGTCCGTCGCCAGCATCTCGGGCACGAGCTGCGCCCGGAGGTTGTCGGCGTTGGGCGTCATGGTGGCCACGACCCCGGCGGCGATGCGGAGGCAGTCGTGCACGGTCTCGACCGCGTCGAAGAGGGGCTCCTTGTCCTCCTGCAGGTCCTTGTTGTACGTGCGTGGGAGACCCTGGGATACGGGCGAGGGAGGGCGTGAGGGAGCACATCACACAGTATTGTTTTGTGTAGAGGTATAGTGTACGTGAGGACGCGGGAGGTAGCAGAGAGAGAGAGAACGAGAGAGAAGAGAGAGAAATAGAGAGAGGGAGGGAGAAGGGTGCGGGGGTCAGGAAGCGGGATGGGAGGGGGTGGGTTGTTTGCAGTGTTCATCTGGACCCGACCGACCCGACGTATGTTCGCGAGTCGTCGGATTGGGTAAATGTACGGGCCGCAGGCATCACCCCCTACGCGGCTGCGCACCTACAGCACGAGCAGTGGAAGCATCCCGAACAGCATCACCACCACCAGCAGGGCAACCATCACCACCACCAACCGTACCTTAAGGGTAGAGAGGAACCCCGAGAGGTGCCCCGTGATCCTGCCGGCCTTGCCCCGAAGCAGCTCCAGCGCGTCCGGGTTCTTCTTCTGCGGCATGAGGCTGCTGCCCGTGCTGTACGCGTCCGAGAGGGAGACGCCCTTGGTGTAGTTGTAGATGATCAGGTCCTCCGCCAGCTGGGAGAGGTGGGTCAGCGTCAGGGACGCCCACCAGAGGTACTCCGCCACGAAGTCTCGGTCGCACACGGTGTCCTTTTTTGGGGGGGTGGGCGGGCGGATGAGTCGGGTCGTGTCAGGCCTGGTTGGATGACTCGCTCGCCTTCGTATATGTTTGTTCGCTGGTACTTTGTCTGTCTGTCTGTCTGTTTGCTTGCCGCGGGTACGTTTCGGCTGGTTTTGAGCTATGTACTTCCATCTTGTTGGCGTCAGCGGAGACGCAGGACAGCGGGGGCATGGTGTGGTTTGTGCGACCAGACGGTCTCCTCCGTTTGCCCAAAAGGTGTAATTATGCAGTTTCATTTAACACCGATGAAGGATGAAACAGCGAAAGTTGATGTACAACACAAGGACACCTGGTCGCAGCATGTTCTGCTGCCCTCACCTTTTGTCTCCCAGATCGCGAGTATGGTCTACAGGTCAAGTGCAAGTTAGGTGGTGGAAGTCCGGCTTGTGTATCGAAATAAACTACAAAGGCTCTGCCGATCGATTCTTTGTCACCTTGTTCACCAACATCAAATAGTTGGCGAGCAAGCATGCACGGCACCAGCATTCCTACCATACAAGCCTTCGGGCACACCACATACTAGCCAACATCGACTCCCCCCCTACCTAGACTAGTGTCGGGGGGGGGGGGGGCGTGCGGTAGAGAGAGAGATAGAGGCTGCATATGTGAGCTTCTCTACAACGCCGTGTGTGCTGGCTACGTTGTCCACAAACACGAAAAACACACGAACAGGTCAAGCGTGACAAAAGGCACATACACATCACCATGCTGTTGAGGGGGATGCCGTCGAAACCCATCTCTTCCCCCAAAAACTCCCTGTCGATGCCGAACGCGTGCCCGGCCAGAGCGCCGCACCCCAACGCCAGAGTATTCACGCGAGGGACCATGTCTTGCAAGCGCTGTACGCAAGGAACAGACCCGGTCGGTGGGTGGCGGCGGCGGCAATTGTGTGCAGGGGAGGTGAAAGGCGACATGTGTTGACGTCTTGTATCGGGGACATCGCTATTTTGAACCTCCGCCAAGGCATCAACTACGCGCAACATATCTCCCCTTTCCTCCTGTATGGGACGAATCTCGACATCTTGTTGACTAGGGGGGGGGAGGCGTACTCGAGTTTTTGCATGCCTTCGCGGTTAGAGTATTGGCCACGCGTCCTCGAGGAACGGTGGGGGGGGAACGGCACAAGAAGAGATACTTAACCTCGAGATGTAATTTTTACCTGGCAATCCCGCTGGAGAGCGGCAACGTGTGACATGAGCCAGTGGCTAAACCTTACGGGCTGGGCCGGCTGTAGGTGGGTGAAGCTGCAAGAAGAGCAGATCCAGAAGAACATGCGACACGAGTAGCATCCGACGCCCAAACGAAAAGATGGAGAGAAAGGAAGAGAGGTGATAGAGGAGGGCGTTCAGTTCTCGGCATCTGTAGTGACTTGGGGTTGTATCAGGCAGACGTTCTGTCCACACAATCATGGATCCTTATCATTGGTGGCAAAGTTCTCTACGCGGAACTGGCTGCAAAACCCCGCGAGCGATTCAGCAGAGTAACCTGGTCGCCGCTTTGACGAGCAAACAGCGGAGGTTTTCCCAATTTACACAGCACAACAACAACGACAACAAGCGCTCACCCCGCCATGAGAACATCGATGTGAGTCTCCGCCGCCTCGCAGCAGACGTGCATAAGGGTAGACATGTCCTGCGTCGCCTGGTTCACTTGGGCGCGCAGCCACAGCCGCGTGTCCAGCACGACCTAAAAAGACGATGTCGCGCAGAGGGAAAGGCATGGCAAAAAGATCATTCGGTGAGGTCAGACTAAGAGCGGCAACACCGGGGTTGCACACAAAAGAGCGCAGAATAGCGATATAAGTCAGCCGTCGGAAGAGGGGAGCGGGGTGGGCAACGTTGAGACTGGCAGCACCTCCGTGCCCTTGTCTGAGGGATTTTAGAACGGGATACCGACACGTGACGTCCGTGTGGTCGCAACCGCTTCACAAATCACGAACGCAGCAATGGGTGACCGCCCACTCAAAATCACAGAAAGACTTAAACGACCCATGAACGAATGCCACAGGACAAAACCGTAGTCAAGAAACACCAATTATCGAGACAGACCGTCGGTGAACTCTCCGCGTGCTTCATGGTATATCCAGAGATATCATCATCATCATCAGCAGCAGCAGCAGCAGCTGGCTGTGGGTGGGTGGCACGTTGACCAATCATCGGGGACGGGGACGCGTACCTGGTCGTTACGGCTGCGGCCGGTGTGCAGCTTCTTTCCTGCCTCCCCCGCGACCTCGGTCAGTCGCCTCTCGTTCGCCGTGTGGATGTCCTCGTCTCCCGCCTTGAGATTACGGCACGGGGGGAGGCGGCACCGACGTTTTATGCTAAACGCACACGGACAGTAGCAGCTAACGCAAAGCAAGGACAAGCAAAAACCGCCACAGAAATCATGACGGTGATATCGACTCGATGAAGTATAAGTTAGGGCTTGCAGGCATCGGCTGGCCCCAAACAAATCTAGATCGTGATCACTTCCGGTCGTTTCTTCAGTGCTGGATCAGACCGAGCCTCTGCGGCACGAACGATCGACTCAAGCGCAAGCAGACAACAACAACAACAACAACTATAACGAATCCCGCCAACAACAACAGCACGGGAATAAAACACACTTCACCCCGGGCGTTTAAAAACTCACCACGACCTTGAACTCCCCCGCTGCCCACTCCGCGCGGACCTTGTCCAGCCCCTGGCAGATCTCCTCCGTCTCCTTGTCGGTGAGGATGCCGGTCTTCCGCAGGGCCTTCGCGTATGCCTCGCTCCCTTCGATGTCCTGAGACCACATGCACCTGTGCCGCAAGGCGATTGAGGGCAAGACGATGGGACTCCGGCGGGTGAAGCGCATTGATGTTCGCGGGATGAACCCAGCAGCACTTAATTGTTTTAGAAAAATACACACACACTTACACGGAAAGACTGCGAGATGTATACCATTATCCTAAAGTCGAACAGGGTGTGTTGAACTCTTTACAGCAGTACCTGGGGAAAAAAAACTGCTACATGGGAAAAAAAAACAAAAAAACTGCCTGTTTTTCGCCGTGCAACCTCCTGCTTACGGTGGGCTTAGGAAAAATAAATACAAACACAGAAAGACTACCCGTTGGAGGTATAACCACAGCAGTCGAGTCGGATGTGTTGGGAGTCGTTGCAGGTGAGTGTGGGATGATGCTGCACAACGGTCAAGATCGGCCGCCGCGGGCCCAAACACAAAATACGAAAATGTACGCATGCTGAGCGCGAACGAGGCAGGCAGACCAAGAGCGGATAACACCTAACGCTATGAATACGAAACACCCACGTATGAACAGCGATGCAGTTGGCCGGCCGTTGCACCGATGTAAGGACGCATCACAAGCAATGATGTGCACCATGCTCCCTCCCGGGTACGCATGGATCAATCACATCACACGGCAAGTAACAACGGAGGTACCAGTAAGGTTGTACCTGTCGAATCTGAGGGAGTCGTTGAACTTCTCCATGACGGGGTCAGTGTCCGTGCGGAATCGACCGCCCCACAGCCGCGCTTTCTTGACTTCCTGCTTGGATTGTCATCGTCAGCCGCAAGCAAGGGTGAGCAGCGGGAAACAGGGTGTTGTGCGGCTCTAAACGAACCAGAATCCGCAGGTCGGTGATACGAAAAATGCGCGAAATACATGATCCGTAACTTTACCCTCCACAGCTTGGTGCACCACGGCGATGCATCAAATCCTCTGTGCCACGTTGCCCACCTTATCGCCAGGCATTGTGATGTCTCTCATTAACGTGAGATAGGCCGGTGAGTGAGCAGGGCGCTGCCATCGAGGAGCACTTCAGGAGGCTCCGCAAAATCGATTTCGGGGCGGTGTGGTGGCCCGCGGGCGGCACAATAAGCCCAACACGGCCTGCTCCCATCCTTGCTTCTCCGACGCGGCAAGCAGCCACAGCTCCACAACAAGCCTGTCGTTTCCACGTACGTGCTCGCCATGCCCAAGCATGGGTTCCTCACGCCGAAGGCGATCGGCAATCGTATCAAGGCCAAGGGTCTGTGCAAGCTGCGCTGGTACTGCGAGATGTGCGTGAAGCAGTGCCGCGACGAAAACGGGTTCAAGTGCCATCAGACAAGCGAGGGTCACCTCAGGCAGATGAGAATCTTCGCCGAGAACCCTGAGGCTGTGATGAAGCAGGTGTGCGCAGGTGGAGGGGAGGGCATGGGCATTGTTGTTGGTCGTCGGGTGTCGGCGTGTCGGTGTCGAAGTAGCTGTTTGTTTTGGATATTTGCGCTGGTACAACAGCAGCAGCCTTTGGAGGTCTAGACGTCTAGACGACTGCTTGTGTACATCGATGTGCTGTACATCCTAGACAACTTCTATGCGTAAGACTGCGCATGTCGAGAGTGATGTATTAATAGATGCTCGCAAACGTAAGTGGTATTTGTTGAGCGAGGTCATCGCACTGTACTCCGAATGCGTTTCGTCGAGAGGCACGAATGAAATTTACGGTTTTGAGTTGCAAAGGGCATCCCTAGCGATTTGGTTTCAGAGCGCGGCGTGATTCGACCAGGCGTGGTTTCAGAGCGCTTTTGAGGCGCACCTCCGGTCACTTCTCAGTCCGATCCGCGCAATGGGATCTGCAAGAATGCCATGGCTCTGACGAGTTTCTTTTTAAAGCGGTTTTCGAGGTATTTCTGGCTCGCTCTCTCTCCTCCTAGAAAGGCATTCATTTGTAGCATGGGGGCGCAGACAGGCAAGACGGGGTCTACAAGAGGGAGAAAACTCGCGCAAGAGAGGGAGAGAGAGAGCGCGGTGTGCCCCATACCGACGTAACCTACATTATACCAGATTGGGTTAGCCTACCATGTATTTGGCCCTGCAATGTTTTCAGATTATGTTGTGGCTAATGCAACCCGTACTTTTATCTCGGCCGTCGCTCGCGCGACAATGTGTTTGGCCTAAAAATGCTTTGTTTGGCAGTACTCGGAGGACTTCGAGAAGGAGTTCCTGGACGTTCTCAGCAGGCGCCACGGGACCAAGCGCGTGCGGGCGTCGCTGGTCTACAACGAGTTCATCGCGCACAAGACCCACACCCACATGAACTCCACGCACTGGGAGACGCTGACCTCGTTCGTCCTCTACCTTGGAAAGGTGAAGTGCCTGCCTGCCTGCCTGCTTGCTGCGCTTGCTGTCATACAGGCGTCCTCGAGTCGGCAACGTTCGTCTGGACGCACACGCGCCGTTTTGCCGTACTCGGCGCTTGTTACACCTTGACGTGTGGGTAGCAACCGCAGTGCAGTCTTGTTTTTTGTACAAAATCACGGTACAAGAAGACCATACTCGACTCGTCATATTATACTACTTTTGCCCTCACCATGCCATATGGTACGACGAGGTACCGTATCTCCTAAAAAGAGTTACCACCGCCGAAAGGAACGGTGTGAAGCGCAGAGCACTCGATTCAGGGTACTGACGTAGAAACACGAACGCCAAAACCTGGTTTCCAAAGTTTCAGAGAGATCAAGGGAGGGGGGGAGGGGGTCGAAGAAATCGAGAATGAGCAAATGAGAAGAATTCGGGACGCAACACGCCAAGAGCGGGACAAGACATGACATGCAGTACGTGAAACACATCGTACAATCGGTGGTCTGGCGTGCATATGTACATACATACCTCTCTTTTTTCAGCAAATCTTACCCTGAGCCGCACTCGAAAAACGATGAAAAACAGATGAAGAAGGCGGTCGTGGACGAGACCGAGAAGGGCTGGTACATCCAGTGGGTGGACCGAGACCCTCGCTTGCTGGCGATGCAGGAGGCCGCCGCCAGAAGGGAAAAGTCCGATTTAGATGACGAAGAGAAGCAGGTGAGCCTTGTGTGTGTTTTTTATTTTGCATCGACCGCGCTGACCAGTGAAAATATGCCAGTCTCAGCGCGGTTGAAAACGGAAACGGCCATGAACGTGTGCGTGAGAAAAGAGAAGGAAGGCGTCTGGTGTGTGCTTCGTGTCTGTTGTTGCTGGGTTTGAATGTTGTTGCGGTTGTTCTGAAGAGCGGAGAAGACAACCAAGGCCTTCGGTCACACCAACAAGTTCAGAGGCAGGGCGACGCCCTAGCGTTGTGTCTACCGCCGATGGGGATAGGAGAAGATCTGTATTTTTGCTGTTTTTTTTTCACGTGCTTTCTAGTCATTCCATCAAACGCCCTCTTTCTTCTGCTGTAGAGCTGTTGTCGAGGTGAGCTCGGACAAGAGATGCATGCATCGTCTGCGTGATGTATATCCAACCAAAGGGCATAGGCCCAGGGATGCTTGGTGCGGCCTTGCCTGCGTGCCTCCCCCCCCCTTCCCCCGCCGCGCGCTGTGGTCAAGATTTCGGTGTTGTACGAGAGTTAGCAATTTTCGTCGTGCGTGTTCACTCGTTCTACTTTGATATCAATGAGGCGTGTCTGCTGCGGCATGAGATGACACCTGTACATTCGTTCTGCCCCTTTCTAGATGCTTCCAACATACAGTCGGTTTTCCTTGTCTTACCGATGCGTGGTGTTCCTTCCCTCTTTGTCTTCCGCTCTGCACCATTGTCTGCCACTACCAACCACCTCAACCACCTACTCCTTACAACTCCACCGCCACCACCTCAACCACCTACTCCTTACAATACAACTCCACCTGACACTACTCCTTACAACTCCACCGCCACCACCTCAACCACCTACTCCTTACAACTCCACCGCCACCACCTCAACCACCTACTCCTTACAATACAACCCCACCTGACACTACTCCTTACAACTCCACCGCCACCACCTCAACCACCTACTCCTTACAACTCCACCGCCACCACCTCAACCACCTACTCCTTACAATACAACCCCACCTGACACTACTCCTTACAACTCCACCGCCACCACCTCAACCACCTACTCCTTACAATACAACTCCACCTGAACACTACTCCTAACAACTCCCTCAACCACCTACTCCTAACAACTCCCTCAACCACGTGCTCCTTACAACTCCGCCGCCGCCGCCGCCGCCTCCTCCGTGCAGGCAAGGGCGATCGAGAAACAGATACAGGCCGCGAAGGCCCGCGACGATGGCCGCGCCGACACCGACGCCGCCGCGGCGGGCCCGACAGAGCTCCGCCGTGAGGAGGGTCAAACTTCCCTCCGAATAGGCCTCAAGTCGCGCGCCCAGACGTTCGTGCCGGGCGGGGGTAGCGGCAGCGACCTGACCACCGCCGCCGGGAATCTGGTCGCGGCGAACGGCGGCGGCGGCGGCAGCAGCGGTAGCGGTAGCGGTGGCCTGTTGAAGAGACCGAAGCTGTCGGGTGCCTTCGGGGAGGGGGGTGCGGCGGCGGCGGCGGCGGCGGCGGCGGCAGGGCCCCTCAAGGGTAAGGGGAAAGGCGCCAAGCGGAGCATGATGGAGGTGATGATGGAGCAGGAGCGAGCGAAGAAGAAGGCGAAGGAGGAGGAGGAGGAGAGGGCGGCTGCAGCGGCGGAGGTTAAGGCCAAGGGTAGCAGCAGGAAGGACTACTGGCTGCGGCAGGGCATCGTGGTGAAGGTGATGAACAAGAGGGTCGGAGGCGGCAAGTACTACAAGAAGAAGGCCAGGTTGAGGAAGGTCGTCGAGCGGTACGTCGGAGAGGTGAAGATGATCGACTCCGGGGACCGCCTGAGGGTGGACCAGGATGACCTAGAGACGGTAAGAGCGCGGTTTACTTCGATGCTGCTGACACGTTTCGTGCTTTGTTATCGTTTTCTGACAAAATTCTACAAAATCCCCTTATTGTAAGGTGGGAGGTCGGTCAGAAAAACGGGTGGTAGAGGCAAAAAAGAGGGGTAGGAAAAGAGCGCGTTCGTACATAGGGGTATGGGGGCGAATGTTGCTTCCGGGTTGTCGCATTTTGTCGGAGAACAATATGCGTCTTCGGCTTGAGACATTTTTGTGGTCTTTCGTTGGACAGATCGACCCACGTGTGTGTGATCGTCTACCCTTTTTTCTTTTTCAGTTCACCCAGGTAGAAAAACCAGGAACGTCCCCCGCCCCCCCCCCTGCCCCGTTTTTCCTCGCTTTCATGTCTCCCAGGAGGATTCGTTTTTTCGTCGCCTGTTTCCCTGCAGGACCCGTCTTTCAGTTTTTTTGAGCCGCTGCTCCCGCACACAACGCCACCGTTTTCTCTCTTGCACGCGTACAATAACCCGTTGGCATGCATGTCGCCCCTGCCACGATCCAAAACCATCACCAGGTCATCCCCGCGGTGGGCGGCGAGGTGGTCGTCGTCAACGGCCGGTGTCGCGGGGAGCGCGCAACGCTGCTGTCTCTCGACACCGAAGCCTTCTCCGCCAGCGTTAGGATAACGAGCGACGGCCCGGACCTCGGCACCGTCCTCGACAAAGTGGAGTACGAGGACATCTGCAAGGCTGTGCCGGTGTCGGAGGCTTGAACTTTTTTAGGAAACATGTATGCGTACTATACAGGCAAAAGAGAGACTACCCGTTCGAGAGGTACCCACTGTCGAAGGGGATGGTATCCCGCAGGCTCGCAGCGCGCCCCGGGGGGGGCGGGGGGGGGGAGCACCGGACGCGCGCGCACCGCCAAAAGAAGACGTTCGCTGCGTTGAGCGGAATTGGCGGACCCTTCCCGATCACCACGCGTTTTTGCCGGCCACGTTGTCTTTCCTGTCGATTCTTTCCCAATTGTTTTGTGTACGTTGAGGTTTGGGTTCTGTCGCAACAAATTAATCCCCTTGCGTCCTAACCGACCTAGAAAATAGTCAACACAGTAGTTAAGGTTCCGCGGCGGCGGGGCGGGGCGGCGGGGGGACGATGCGGACGCTAGACGAGTGCGGGCAAAAAAAAAACACGGTGTGATGAGAGCCGAGCGTTTGGTTGACTCAACTATGGTCAGTTATTTCGCGTTCCCGCCTCCTTCGCCCGGATTGTCGGGTGTGTTTTGGGAGAAACAGGGGATGGCTGGGTCACCTCATGGCCACCGTCTGTTTTTCATCCCGCGGTAGCCAGTAGTCGATGTTGTTGAGATGGATGAGGATGAAACAGAGGGGTAAAGAGAACGCCCGCGCTTTTCCTTCCTTGGTGGAGTCTGCTCCTTCCGGCCGAAATCTGGCTTGCCGACGTCTGGCTTGGCGGTTGATGACGTCATCCGGTTTGTCTTGCGACACCATGGTTGGACGTTGATGATGGAGGCCAAGCGCCGCTGTTCGTGGAAGTGTAAAAACTTGTTTTGGTTGGCTCCTGACGGCGTGTAAGTTTTGTATGCGTACTATGTTTTCCGTTGGTTGCTGACAGAACGTGTTGGAGTGCTGCGACAATAAAGGCATCGCCGCCAGAGGTAGAGGCTCCTGTTCGTGTGTTCCGCCGTGCCAGACTTGACGAGATTCCTGTTTTGTTGTTGGAGAGGCTTCAGGTTCTTGTTCACAATAATGTTGTGCCGGCGTTGTGAAACGAGTAACGTACATCCGATGTTGAAAGTCTTGAAGAACCGGTGGTTTTTGTTTTGCAACAATCAACTGGACGCATCATGTGTGCTCTACTTGTTGCCGCGCTAAGTTCATCCCGGGTGTGGGGGCGAGAGAGCATGAAAGGGCACAACATATGTAGTGTGTAGCCGTTGTGTGTGGGGGGACAAAAGACACGGGGCAACTACGGGATTTCAGAGAGTGGACTGCTTCGTCAATATGACAAAGAAGATAGCGAAAAAATTCCGTTACACACACGTGAAACGCTTCAGATCTCGAGCCTTGGTGAACCTGAGCTAATAAAACATGCGGTGTACTTGCGATAATTACCCCCCAATCACCGATAACCACAAAAACACACGCGCACCCCCAATAAAGACTCGGTTTCGCATGTTGTAGGTCGTCTTTTGTGGCGTGCGGATAGAGGTACCATCTGGGCCCTCTGTGTCGGGCACTCTGACGAGAGATTATTTCGAACGTCGTGGTAATGTAAATATCATACTCCCTGGTGAAAGCGATATGAAGTTTCACATGTAGCTTCTGAGCACACTCCGAACTCGGCAACAACAGGTGCCAAGCTTTAGCTTTCACACCCTGTCCAATGCTGATGATTTCTTGCATCCTAGCATACAAAAAGAGTAACTTGCACTTTCTCGTCTCCATTTCATTCAACAGATGGGGGCACACTGCTGATCTTTGCGTGCTCGAGAAGTATACTATTTCCATGCACCGCAGGCACCTCCAAACGAGAGGGTGTAACTTGCCGTAATCCTAAAGATCCCCTGTCCATGTGTAAACACTACTGCCTCAACAGTCAAACCAAAACACAACATGAATACACAATCCACGCACCCCCCTGCATACCCCGGCACCTTTTCTCTCGGTGTTGCGGTGCCCCCTTCGGACCATATGACATGCATGATCTTGCTTGACACAACTGCATAGAGAACGATACGAGACAGAGCCGAGCACAATGCCCCCAAAGCAAAAGGCAGTTTCATCCGGCGTTCCCCTGGGCAAAGGAAAGGGAAAGGGCAAGGGAAAAGGAAAGGCCCGCCGTGTGAATGCAGCAGCAGCAGTTGCTAGTTCCACCGAAGATGCTGCTGCTGCCGTTCCCGCTCTAGACAACAAGCGAGGCACCATGACCGAGAAGGACGCTGCTGGTGCGTGCTGCAGCAAGTCTGTGCAGGGGTATCTCCTCCGCTGCTGCACAAGCCGTAGAATATTTGGGGAACATGCTCGTTGGGAAGTCTAGATCAGAAAGGTCATCAAGAAGGTCCCCAAAAAGATGAGAAGTCTCTCTCCCCGTCGCGAATTCGCGACTTTTTAAATCCGCACGGATATCTTTTTTTTTTCTCCAGATTCCATGCATCAACACATCAACACACAGGATCATTCTCTTGTCAGTAGATAAGGCTCCAGGATAAACTAGCGATCAATACTCATAGTGCTACATGACGTACCTGTGCTTCTACGGCTTTTCGTCGAGCAGCACAATGTTTTCGCGGATCGGATACATGTAGAAAATCCATTTGTTGCGCAGATACAGCAGTCGGTCATGTAGAGGTAGGAGGCCCCTGTGCCAGGAAGTAAAGGACCTGCTCTCTGCCACCCCCCCGAGTCTCCGGTGCCAACGCAAACCCCAACTTTCTCCGCCATCCCTCTCTCCCACTCGCCACCCCTTCCCTCGCCCGCTGCTCCCCGCGCCCTCCTGCCTGCTTTTTTCATCGCTATCGCTCCACTTTTTTTCGTGGTGTTACTCCAACGACCCACTCCTGACTTACTGTAACTCTTGTGGCACATACATACGTGGTTTTGCTGTACATGTAAACAAAGCTGCGATTGAGCGCGGCGATGTGATGAGCGTGTGCGCCTTCCTCGGGCAGCTGTTCCCGCGGAGCGCCCGCAGGAACGGCGGCGAGCTCAGGTGCATGCGGCGGGGCTTGTCCCTCCTCGACTCCCGCTGGAAGGCCGACGTGGACAGGAAGAGGAAGGCCACCTTCGCCTCCGAGGACAAGGTGTGCTGCGTGTGTCTTGATTGTTAGCATCGACAACGCTAACCGGCTGACCCATGAAACAAGTCAAAGTCTTGTAGCAGAACACACCAACACTTTCTACTCTAAGGGTAAGTGAAACAGATAAGGCCGGCCGGAGCCTAAGGGTAGGCCATGATCTGAGACGTCATGGGGGAGGCTGCGTGTGTATGTCTTTATTATTAGCATCGACCGCGCTAACCGGTTGGCCAATGAAAAGACGGCAATCTTGTTATTGCAGCGGGACGAAAAACGCCAACACGTTCCAATCAAAGGGAAGGGTATAGGCCATGATCTGGAATTTGACGGGGCGTCATGCGTGTGTGTGTGTGTGTGTGTGTGTGTGTGTGCAGCCTATATGTATGTATGGCAGATCAGATAGATTGAAGCCCTTGCTCTCTTCCGCACCACTTTCTCCTCTCAACGTTCGTATGTAGCGCTCATTTCTACCCGTCGTCCCTCAGAAGCACCGCCTCCCCTTCATCATCGTTGGCTTCCTTCCTGTTCTCCCACCCTATCTATCGAGTCGTTTCTTCCTTGCCTCGTCTCCTCCTGAACGTGTTGTCGGTTTCTTTGAACCGCATCGACCGCGCTAACCGGCATGCGCGCGCGCGGGGGGGGGTCACAACGCGTGCGCAGGGGATGGTGGATGCGGTGCTGATGGGGGGTTTCTACCTTCCCTCGGACTCGTTCGCGATGGTCGTGGAGTACCTGGACCACGGCACCGCGGTCCGGTCTACCCCGTCCTCCAAGTCGTGGTGGCGCACTAGTGAGTGTTGTGTATGCGACGAATTTAGTTTGCCGCAATTTGTTTGCTGCTACAATCATCCCCCGCAAGACGACGGCATTAATTGCCGAAATTTTACTTTGACGATCATCCCCCGCCAAGACGGCGGCATTAATTGCCGTAATTTACTTTGACGATCATCCCGCAAGACGGCGGCACCATGACCAGTTAGTAGTGCTGCCTTTGCCAACCAGGGTGCAGCGACATGAAACAGACAAAATCCGGTTTCTCTTTTTTTTTGTCTATCGGGGAGAGGAGGGGAGGGGCATGAATGTG